CCCCCATTGGACAAAGCAAATGCAGATGCTTTACTCAAACTAATAATTATTTGAATATAATCACAAAAAAAAAAAATTTAAGAAATGATAAAGGGAAATAGCCTATGAATAAGAGTGTATCCATTTTTCTAGTATGTTAAAAGTTTTGGAATACTTTGGATTAAATGTTCTTGAGTTTAAGTAGTACTAGGTTGAATGACTCTTTGAGTTTGAATATATTAGGTTGAATGATAAATTCAAGAGCTTATACTGAGGCGATATATAGGAAATTCCAAACATACCATTATACAATAAACACTAGTTTATATTTAAATATAAACACACATAGAGATATATATAGATATATATATGCTCCTCCAAAAAATGCATAAAATGCAACATTAAAAATTGGCATCCATTGTTAGAATGGATTTAATGTCTGGATTCTTTACAGATGGACTACCGTGGACCAGTGTTCCATTTACATATTGGAACAAAGTTACCTGAACCAGTAGCATTTATGAACACGAGTGGACTGAGTTGACCAGCGTGGACTGGTATGACTGTAAATTCTCTAGCCCTGGCATGGCATGGGCCTCCACTCGGCTAGCTTTGTACGTCCTCCACCCAGCGCGTGCCATGTGTCCGCGCTCGGCTAGCGCCAGTTGTAATACAGGTGGAAATGTGTAATGACCTTTCAAGGCTTTCACTTGAGCGTGACTACTTACACAAGAGCCCTCCATCAAAGGATATATAAACGAAAGAGGGCCTGTGCGAGATGCCGTCATTGAGCTTCCTCCTTTCCTATTTATCTAGTTAGCGATCGAAAATAGATCCATCGATATTTGAGATAGCTAGTTGGATCGATCGCTCGATCGATCGGGATAGAGATAGAAAGACCGGCATTGCGAGCTGCGAATCAAGATTATGGCGCCGGCAATGCTCATCCTCTACGCTCTTCTCCTCTCTCAAGCAGCGGCAAGATCGCTCCTCTCCTCATCCCCCTCTTCTCTATCCAATGCAGCTCCATCGGATCTTCCAGCGGCGCGATACAAGCCCTTCCGCCCCTACTGGAAGGACAAGGAAGCGATAATCTCCAAGATCCAAGGCGGCGGCGGCGGCGGCGACGCTATATTTGGGGCATCCAAGGCATTCGAGGGCTCCTCCGAGTACGTCAAGATGCGCTACCATATGGGGCCAGTGCTCTCCCAGCAAATGCACATCTACATCGTCTGGTATGGCCGCTGGAAATCCTCGGACAAATCCATCATCCGCGACTTCCTCGCCTCGGTCTCATCCCCGCAATCCGCCGCGGTGCCGCAGCCATCCGTCCAGCGCTGGTGGAGCACCGTCCGCCTCTACACGGATCAAACGCTCCAGAACATCACCAGCCAGCTGGTGGTGGCCGGCGAGCACAACGTCGACTACTCCCACGGCCACAGCCTCACGCGGCTCACCATGCAGGAGGTCCTCAAGGGCGCGCTGGCCGAGAACAACGGTACGCTGCCCGTCAACCCGCGCCGCGGAATATACCTCATCCTTACCGCCGGCGACGTCGTGGTCCAGGACTTCTGCCGCGCGGTATGCGGCTTCCACTACTTCTCCTTCCCGTCCATCGTCGGCTACACGCTTCCGTACGCGTGGGTGGGCCACTCCGAGAAGCAGTGCCCCGAGGTGTGCGCCTACCCGTTCGCGGTGCCGTCCTACATGACGCACACCACGCCCATGAGGCCGCCCAACGCCAGCCCCGCGGTGGACGGCATGGTGAGCGTGGTCGCGCACGAGCTGGCGGAGATCTCATCCAACCCGTTGATCAACGCGTGGTACGCCGGGGAGGATCCGACGGCGCCCACCGAGATCGCGGACCTGTGCGAGGGCATGTACGGAACCGGTGCCGGCGGCGGCTACGCGGGTGCCGTGCTGACCGACGCGAGGAGCGGCGTGAATTATAACATGCATGGGGTGAATGGGCGGAGGTTCCTGGTGCAGTGGATCTGGGATCCGGTTCTCAGCGCTTGCCACGGCCCAAACGCCTCGGATTGATGATGAATCCCGCGAGAAAGTTTTGGATCACTGTTGGATGGATTGGATCCATTCGCTACTACTACTACTACTACACTGGCTCGTGATAGCAAGGACTATGGATTTGGAGCAAGAGACGAGGCAGGGGGGCTCAAAACAAGAGCTTTTTGTTTTGATTCCATCCATCCGCGCTTGTATATATGTTACACCTTTCCTACTTTTTGTTTTTTTGAATTGAAAAACCGCGGGATTTTTAAAATTTTTGTCAATAAGCTATCTTTCGTACCATTTTATATGAATTGTCTTCTTAATTCATGTCTTAATTCATGTTAGATGTGTATAAAAACAATCACCAACACTGATGGAATCATTTGGCCTGAGAAAAGAAAAATAAAGAAAAATAAAGAATAGACGATCTAGTTATAAGAAACACGAACCTGTAGACTTGGAGAGATCTTGGAGTGTCACGAGTCCACCAAAAGAAAATGGTTGGTGTCCTATATGTGAGTGGGGCACGATGGCTGAAATGGACGTCAACTTACTCAATCTCTTGTCTTCCTGAATGTCTCGATTCTCAAAACTACGTGCTGTACGAAGAAAATGTTCATGGAAACCAATGACTAGAAAGCAGCGTTGTACCTTTATCTGGACTCGATTATAAGTGTATGTGACGTGAACAAGACCGGTGAAAGACTGGATCACTGCGGCGTACGAGAATTCGCCGCCTTCTTGTTCTTCCAGAGTAATCTCCTCTGTCCAAGTGTCTCCGTCGTCGCCGGAGACTCCCACCTTGAGTATACCACGAGAGTCGGTGTTGTAAACAAGTAGAAGCGTGCCATCGCGCAGCTTAACGCCATCGAATCCTGCGTTGATTTTGTGAGACTGGCGTGAAGAAACAAACGTACGAGTTTACCGCAGTTTGGATTTGGGAGCTGAGTCGGAGTGGCGTAGGTCCACGAGCGTCCTCCATCGGACGATGAGGCCATGCATATTTTCCCAATCTCCTGCGTTGCTCTTAGAAGCACTCGGACTGTGCCATTGTCCGTGAGATATGGAACAGGTTGAATGACACCCATTGGAGTATGTTGGACGTAAATCGGACCATGCTTTCTCCACGTATAGCCTGAATCTTCGGTAACCTGCAGTACTGTGTTTGCAATCGCAAAGACAGAACAAGCAGAAGAAAGTGCTTACCTCCATCCACGCACCCCATGCATCCCAGCTTTCAACAGACGATCCACAAAGAAGTCTTCCATCTCTCAGGAGTAAAGGCTGGAAACGACGAAGAAAAGCAAACCATGTTGAAGATTGGAAACACAGAGATTCTGTTTTACCTTGTTCTTTATAGGACCAAGAATTCCAGGAGGAAGAGCTTGCCTCGCAGACCAGGTTACTCCGTTGTCAAATGATCTCTTCATAAACCCGCTCCATCTGCAAAACACCACGAACCGAAATCAGCTAAAGTGGTTCAAAGAGATGGATGATGCGTACTTCTGAACTTCTGGACCAATTTTGTAAAACAGCAACACTTCGCCTTTGGGCATTTTAAACAGAACGGGATTCCACATGGGGACACCCAACTCGGAATCAGCTACTTGAGGATCAGACCAGACACCATGCTGAAATACCAAAGAAAAGAATGTATACATCATGAACAAGGAGAAACAAAACTATACCTTGAAGCGCTGTGTCCAGATCACAACATCACTGTCGCCTTCATACGTTCCTCCAAAGTATGCCACCATAAAATGCTCGGGCTCAAGCTGTGAAGTTCCTCATTTAATTCCGAGAATGGACGTATAACTTACCTCGACAATCGTCGATGCATGGCAGCTGTTGAACGGTGCAAGACCTTTCTCGAATAAAAACTCCTCCTTGACAATGCCGATTCTCCCAGACAGCAATCTACTCATTTTCGTGCTGGATAAAAAAAAAAAAACTTCCAGGAACCATAGAAAGAGCTAAAGAAACCGTACTTCTCACTGCGAAGCCACAGCTTTAGATCTTCCGCCGAGGAGAGGGCACGCTCCAAGCTCGGCACAAAATGCGTGGAATGCGCGAAATTGATGTACAAGACCACAATCCCGGCCAGCGCCGCCGACGCTAGAAGAGAAGAACACCCGAAGTTAAACTATCCTGGAATTATCAAAGGGAAATACCGGCGGCTCGAGGATCTACGCAGCGCCTCGCCCTGACGATCGCTCCCATCTTCCAGGTAACAAATCGGATGTAGAACTGCGAGAAAGCGACATTCGGCGAGAGGAAAGAGGAGATAGAGAAATGGGGCCGACCTGCCAGGACGCTCCGCCATCGCCATCAGCGCCAGAGCCTCCATCGCCAGAGAAACAAATATATCTCTTGGGCCTTTCCTTGTGAGAATCGACCCTGGAATCTCTTCCTCTGTGTTTTGATATTTGGTAGTATGAACCCTACTCCCTAGGGTTTGAGGGGTGGGAGATTCTTTTTACGCTCTTTCAATTGGAGTGTTAAAAAATTCTACAATTCTTGATGCCAGTTCGCAGCTGGCTAACGAAGGATGTCTCTTCTATCTGGAAGAAGAGAGTATCAGCGCTGCTCGATACCTGAAATATAGAAAGACTTATAGTCGAAAAACATTACAATGTCTGAAACAAACATCCGACACAGTGCTGCTCAGAAACGGTCCAAGAACTTTGGGATACGTACAAAATAAGACACATATTACCTTAGTGACACTCGCCGAACTGTACCATCTAGTTCGGCTTTGCAATCTGCGGACAAAGAAAATCAATCCAAAAACAAGCAACCCCTGGGAGTCATCACCGGCGCTCCATTCTCGATCCTCGCCAAATCAAGCTCCCTGAAGCGATCGAAGCCCTAGGAGGAGGACGCCGATGGAGCTGCTGGAGATGCCGCTGCTGCCTCTGCGAAGACGAGGAAGAAGAAGAGAGTGATGATCCGAAATTCGGAATAAAAGAAGAGGCAGCTCGATTTTGTTTAGAGCGAATCTAAGAGCGTCTTTTTACGTGTGCCCAATGTAAAACCAATGTTGTTATACACTATTCCTCCTTCCTCACTCACTGTACGCGAGAACAATGAAAACATCGTTAGTAGACCATTTCCTTGCAGCGTGTTTCTTGGCGGGATTGATGGAAGGACGGTCGGCACAAGCTGCTTGATATCCGATCAATATCTCTTGCCGCTTTCTCGCGCGCATCATCAGCTCAAAGAAGCTCAGCACTTCCTGGTCGTATAAGTAGAGCTCGCCCGACCGAATGTAGATCTCATTCCCCTGTGAGGAAAACTTGTGTATCAACTTGAAAGCTTGCGAGCCATGGGCTTACTTCTTCAGCGAATAGCTCCTCCAGAACTCGGTTGATCTGCTTGTCTTCCGCTACCATTGCCAGAGCCATGCTCACGAGCTCGTTGGAGAGGACGCAGTCGGTGATCTTGGACACCGAGACCAGGTGTTTTGTTCTCGAGTCGAGGATCTCGCTGATGATTATTGACTGGTTTGATGCCTGCTGCATTTCTCGTATCCAGGAGGTTTGCAGGGATCCAGCCTGCCGGACTTGGACAGCTCTTAGATCTCGGTATGGTAATCGCTTTGACTGGAGAATGACACGAGATTAAGTTGGCTTCCGGGGGGTTAAAAACTCGACGTACCTGGATGTCACGTATCAGTAGTAGAGTAGCTAAAGAGCGCGAGTCTGCGTGGATTACCGAATCTTCAAGCTCCTCATCTGCCAGAATCAATATCTACAAGAAGGAAAGAAAGTTATGGATTTTTATTACATGAAACGAAACTTTACCGAGTCAAATGTTTCCAGCGGCAAGCTTTCGAGGTGTCTTCGGATAACAGGGTTTCCCTCACGATGCACCAGATGGACGTTCTCAAGCCGCTTGGGATCAAGGCCACCGTCGATAAGCTTCTTTTCTCTTTCATGCTCTGGCACGCCGCTGAACATCCATAGCTCCGATCCTTGTGCAAGAGAAGCCTCTAAAACCTGAAAGCTGGGATAAGTTCCACACGGCAAAGAAAAACTGAGAAGAGGACCTACAACAATCATGTCATCTATATCTCGCCGCCAACCACAAAACAGCATTTTCTCGGGATATTTTCGAGGAATTACAATCTTCGGTAGTGCAGCTTTCTTCACCTGGCCAAAACAAACCAAGTAAGTTGCAATGAGACAGTGAAACAACAGTACCTTCGGTAGCGAACTTGGAAAGTAACTGTCGTCATCTTCTGCAATCACTAGAATTTCATCATCCTCGCATATGATGTAGTCATCATCTGGATTCAAGGCAATTTTGCCTGCGTTAGCTGCTACCTTAACCCCGCAAGGTATCGCATCAGGGAATGAAACAAGAACGTCTTCAAATGTCATCCCAACAAGCTGTGGCCATCGTTTAAGATAGAATTCCGCGTTATCAAATCCAAGTATATCCTCCCATATCTGCAAGAAGGGCTGTTAACAGAGATTACGTAGAGAAACAAAAAAAAAAAACCTGTGCAAGCCCCGGTTGACGAGCGCATTGAATCATAAGTCGACCAATAACATCATGTGCCACGACCGTTTCTACCAGATCGCCTCCAACAAGTTTCACCAGTGGTTCGTTATCTATGTCACTGAGTTCGACCACGACGTGACCCTTCAATCCTTCTTTCACTGCTGTCAAACTTAAAACCACTCTCAAGGCCCGAGCATCGCTCTGTAAATAGGAAAACTCAGTAAGTTACAAAACTATCAGAGCATGGAAAGTAAGAAAACCTGATCAGCGTTCCCAGGTTCTGCAAGTACTATAATGGCACGAGCCTTAGACACTGAAACCTGAAAGTCGTTTTAAGGAAAAAAATAAATCGTGAAGACATTTCCGCATACCTTCTTAAGGTCGGCCATGATGAGAGGACTTCCACTTCTACAGATGACATAAGTTCCGAGAAAATCAAATTCCATCTTCCCAATGTCGGCCTCCATTTCCTCTTTATCTCTTTCAGAAAGAATGACGATCACCCCACCACCTAAACTTTGGTTGGCAATTGCAAGCTGGTTTAGCAGCGAGTTCTACAACAGCCACTGCGGTTTGAAGCCTTAATGCTAAAAAGATAGAGAAAACTTACAAGTTTGTCGCTCCATCCAAGGATCAAAGTGTGGTTGCTCTCAATGACGTCGCTCTTTCCCTTTCGAAGCGAGTCTACTTTCTCTGAAATGGCATCCGAAATAAGACCGAGCATGAGAGCAAAAATAAGCAGCCCGCCAAGGCTGATACAAACTGATACGATTCTGGAACCCAAGCCGACGCTGTCAGCGTGGTTGCCAGAATCCGCTACATAACTCCAAGTTCGCCATAGCGCATCTTCAAAAGTATCCTCAGTAACAGAATATAATGCAATCCCACCGAAAGCTATTAGAAGCATTGTTGCGAGAAGTAGAGCAATCGGCTTTGCAATTGCGTTCGAAAATATCAAGTCCACGAGATACGCTAACCTCTTGCTCGGAGGGACTTCTTCGTCTGTGATGTTTCTCGTTAGCTTGCTGTGTATGTCATCCATAACTCTCAGAATTAGAAAAGGCATAGCAAGAAAGAAGACAGTCACAAAAAGTGCAAGCCTCCTAGCCGGTTTCTGGTCAAGATTTGTTTCCAGAGTGCTCATTCTCGTTGTGCATGTCTCGATTTGTGCCTGGAGTTTGACAAGAGATTCCTGCCATAGGATAGCAAATGCTAAAATAAAGTCATGATAGAATACCAAACAAAGAACTCTTTTTACCTTGACGTTTTGTCGCTCTGCTCGCAAAACCAGGGTGTACACAATCAGCGCGAAGTAGGACAGTATAAGCTGGAAACAAACGAATGGATGCAAAGGATAGAAATATTGTTTAGAGCTTTACCAAAAGAGCGAGCGACGCATAGATGAAAAGTCTCACGAACTGTGTAGTGTTCCAGTTAGAAACTCCATCCGCGACTCGAGAGCCATGAGACTCCTCCAAAGAATCCATCGACTTCGATTTTTTCACCCGGGGGTTATCCCGATCATCCCTCGCCTTTGATCCAGGCTCCGCCTCCTCCTTATCCACAATGATCCAGCTATCATCTGGCCTGGAATCCTCACTCCTGAATTTCTCGACAGCCAAGCGCCGAGACTCACTAGCGCTCTTCAATCGCCTGACGATCGGCGGCGGCCCTGAGAAAACAGGGCTCGCGGCATCCTTGAGATTGGATGGAATCGAGGACGATCTTCTCAGAGATCTCCCACCTGAGAAGCAAATGCACCAAGATTATAGAAACAGAGGACAGAAATATATGCTCAAACCTTGCTCCTGGCAGCTGCCGCCTCGCATCGTGCGCGCATGCTCATCGCAAAGCTCAAAACCCTAGGGTGTGGGGTTCATACTACTGTTCCCGCCAAATATTAAAATGGGGCTTAATCTCTTCCTTGCAGCAGAGAGGGTGCGCCATTTCACCAGAAATGCGGCTCCGTCGTTGCTGGGACCAGGAACTCCACGGATTTGAGAGCACCTGGAAGATGGGAGCTAGGGTCAGGGCGAGATCATCAAGCTGCCGGTATTTCCCTCTGATAATTCTTCAGTAATTTTGCTCATCGCATTTTGTGTGTGAGCCCTCTCCTGGGCCAAAGATCTAAAGCTATAGCTTCGCAGTGAGAGTTAAGAAGCTTAAGCCCAACCATGGTGGCATACGTATCAAGGCGACTTGTTCCTACATGATGGATATACTTGTCTGGTCTCTTCGGAGTGGTATGTGGAATCCTGTTCTGTTTAAAATGCCCAAGCGGTTACCATATTGCGAGAAATGCAGCGGGCATCAATCCATGAACTCGTTCTCAACAGCGGCTGTGCAAGGCTATGGCATGGTTTCCTTGGCCAACACTTGCAGAACAACAAAGCCGGCCTCTTTAATAGCGCATCAAACAACTTCCCTTCAGCAGCAAACGTTTAGCGGCAACAACAAAACAATCTTTTAGGAAAATTCTTTCAAATCTCGCCACCTAAAGACCACAATGTCAGAGTCTTGTGCCTGGAAGGAGCTGGCTCTTCGACTTGGGCTCCTCAGTGGATCTCTTCCTCTGAGGGCTTCCCTCCTCAAGTATGTGCTCGGGACAAGGTCACGGCTATGGCGGAAGGGTGGCAGCTCGTCGTACGGTGTATGGTGCCAAAGCCGTAGACAACAGCCACAGTATTTCGAAATGAAATAATTTAAAAAACTTTGCTATCAGAGGGAGGTTTCGATCCTCCGACCTGTGGGTTATGGGCCCACCACGCTTCCGCTGCGCCACTCTGATTTGTAATAATCAGGGTCTGGCTTTTATATTTAAAAGGTTTACCCACTCAAATTGAAACCAAAATAAATTATGTCAAAAAAGCTAGAGTAGCATTAGGGCTCTTGGCTATGGCGTCGCCAGCAGCAGCAGCAGCGGCAACAGGGCCGGCGGCCACGGCCTACTGGCGCGTCGCGGGCATGACCTACATGTCCTACGCAAACGCCTGTGCCACGCACCTCCGCAAGTGCCTCAAGGAGCCCTACAAGACCCAGACTGCCGCCAGGGAGCAAGTCCACTACAAGATCACCAAGTGGGTCGACGGCGTCGCCCAAAAGCCAGGTAAATCCCTCCCTCTCGCCAGAGAAAGAAGAATGTGGCTTCTCATATCACTGGCATTTCCACAGAGTTTCGGGGAACCGGAGGATTCGAGTGAGAGTGGTCGATCCATTGCCCCCAAATAATTGGAAACGCTTGTTAGGCTCTCCCTCTCTCTCTTTTGTTTCTTCTGGCTTGGTGATTCCTCCAGCAATAACCTGTAGAGGATTCAACACGATAATTTTCGCTGAAATTCGAGAAAGCTCTCATAGTTTTGGCCCGAATATCTTCGTGTCCCATCATCTTTCTTTATTCTATCTAGCGGAACACCATGTCCACCCCGAGATTACTGGATGTCGTTGGCAAGGATTGCTGCATCGTCCTGAGAAGCCAAGAAGCTTGAAACCAGATGATCAGGCAGATTGAACGACAACGCAAGAATGCCGAGCTCCAACTTCTCGAGCACGGAGCCTCTCCCTGCAAAAACCATCCACGATCACAACTTCTAGCCAAAAGCGTCCTTCCTACCTGCGAGAAACTGTATCCCCTCGGTGACCTCCGAGCGAGAATCCGCCGCGACAGTGAAGCTGACAAACTCCAAGCACTCGTGAGTAGCAGCGATCTGGGAAGCCGGGAAAAACTGCGGTACGTGGAAGATGGTGCCTGCATTGAGCTTGGCATCGACGCCATTCGTGCCGTTGGGAAGAGCGACTTGGAGGCTTCCAGTGCCATTTGTCACCACTCCAAACTCAGCTCCTTGCTTACTCCAGTGCGGAGCCAAAAAGCTACCCTGCCAGAGATGTGTTAGAGAACCAAGCAAGTTTTATGAGACTTTGTGAACTTACCGCTTGCAACTTGACGATGGAAACTCCAATCCGGCCTGATGCCAGTGCTTGCACGTCTTCGCCGAGAGTGGAGGCAATCCAGCCGTGTTGGTTCTCGAATGCTCGCTTCTCAAAGAGGTTGAAGATCTTGTCTTTGCGCTTCTCCTTGTCCTCGTCTTCCTTGTGCTTCTTGTCATCGTCCTTGTGTTTCTTGTCGTCCTCATCCTTCTTGTGCTTCTTGTCGTCCTTGTGTTTCTTGTGTTTCTTGTCCTCGTCCTTCTTGTGCTTCTTGTTGGAGACCACGCTTTCCAGATAGTTCTCTTGGCCTTTTAATCGTGCAAACATCCCAACGCTCGTGGGGATGATTGGTCCTCCATCCTGGGAGCCAAATACGTTCTTGATCTCCTCCTCCGATACCTGCACAGACAAGCCGATGAGAGCAGATCCCCGTACAAAACGAAGTACCTTGAAAGCTGCTGCTAGAAGGCCCGAACGGAAACCAGCCAATGCAAGTTTAGGATGGAGTCCACCGCCGACGAAGAACGACTTCAAATCATCAAAACAAATATATGACTTAGTCTTGCGACAAGCAACCAAAGATTACGCTCTTACCTGAAGTTTACCACTGCGTGACCCCCTGGAGGTGTCGAAGATACCGATCAGCTCGAGCTTCTCATCTTCGTTCGCATTGAGCACGTAAAAAACAGCTCCAGCAGGAACAGTATAAACGTCCCCTCGTTTCAAATCCTTCTTGACAGTCGACTCCCCACGAATCGATCCAATCATAGCATCGCCTGATCAGTTTGTGACATCACGATCCAGCGAATTTAAAGAGAACCATTTTTTATTACCTTTCTGGACATAGAAAACAAGGCTTGCGTCCATGTAATGTGGTAGCAGCAACGCCCGAGGTTCCATGGTGATGAAGCCGAGAGCTACATCACGCTCCTTGAGTGACAGGTCCTCGTGAGAGCCCATCAAAGCTCGAATCTCTCCAGCATCACTCTTGACATATTCAACAGGCTCACCGAGGATGAAGTCCTCATACTCAAATTCGCAGGCCGATGCGGCTGCAAGGACCGCAAGTGCAAGTAGCAAGAGCTTAATCATCCTGCAGGGACTAGAGGAATTTAGAACCAAAAGAAAAATCCTAAACCGACTTGCCCGTTCTCGATGAGGTGCTTACTGACCATTATAAAACGAAGATTTCGTCTGCATGCGTGACACCTGTTTTGCTAAATAAAAGACTGAAAAATGCAAAGTTTAATCGTATTCATGAAATGCTGGATGGAAACACCTGTATTTGGAATGCCATCATCCCAGCGTACACAGCTATCTCTGGTTACAAATAACCCTCTCCAGTAGGATCAGAGCTACTTACTTAAGCAAGTCCCTGCAAATTTCAATCAGCAACTGGCAATGGTGGTTCATAGCAAGTACCTTCTATAGTACAAGAATTCTCCCGCAACGACGTGGAGCTAAATAAGCAAGTATCAGTCCAGCTCGCAAGATATAAAACAAGCTTTCGTACCTCAAGGAAACTGGAAGCTACCACCGATACCCATGCCTTTGTCCGGTGTCAAAGAGGAAGAAGAGAGGGAGACCCACAGCAGAGATATGACGATGGCCAAAAGTCCAGACCAGACGAAGATAATAGTCGGGGTGCGCCTCCTCCTCCCCATGAGGCCCTTCGAGAACGGGTAGAGGTGGAACAGCACCCAAACACTGAAGAAAACTCCCCCGAGAAGCTTGCTCCACTGAGGAACAGGACTGTAGACCGTCCTCGAGACAGCCACCGCGATCGCGATCAAGTTCACCATCATGATAGTCAGGGGTGGTATCATCAGAGCGCTCCACTTGACCATGTACAGCTCGGCAAACTCGTCGTCCTCGTCACCAGAATTCTTCGACGTCAGAGTGAAGGAGATATCTATCCCGGCGATGACCTTCAAGAGTCCCTGGAACACAGCCACCAGATGAGCGCTGGTTCCACCAATCACCCAAAACTGCTCGTTCCGCCACCATTCGTCCAGAGTTATCCCCGACCACCTGATCTCCAGCACCGCCAGCAAGCAGATCGTGACCGTGATGATCAAAAGGTAGACCAGGAAAGTCACGTTGAGCGTCTGGACAATAAACTTCCCCGTGAGAAGCGACAGCGCCGGCAGGAAGCAGTAGACCGTGAGGAAAATCGAGGTGAACGGGTAGATGCCGACGTTGAGGTACGCAATTCGCTGCAGGAACTTCATTCTGGTGCTGGCGAAGAGAGCATTGTTTCGGGAGTAGAAGATCTCAACCGAGCCTGTCGCCCACCGCAACACCTGATGCAATCTGTCCGTCAAGTTGATTGGTGCTGTGCCTCTGAAAGCGTCACGCTTTGTCACGCAATAGACGGACTTCCAGCCTTTGTTGTGCATGGTGTATCCCGTAACCACGTCCTCGGTGACTGAACCGTATGTCCAGCCGACGTTCTGTCCCCACTCCGTCTTGTCCTCGTACCAGCACGAGATGACGTTGATCGCCTCCGCAACAGTAGCAGCATCCAGTGGTTCTCTTGGAGAAATCAATGAAGCAGCTGGTCTTCCGAGCATCACCCCCTGTCCCGAGAGAGGCCTGCCCTGGAACTCAGCGTTGGAGATGGAAGCTACAAAGCTGGTCGATGTCCCGTAACGCTTTGGCAGCAAAGTCTGGGCCTCTAAATCGTCTTCGTTTTCCTCCATACTGATACCGGTATTCTTTTTCGTCAGCCTCGCTTTCCTCCTGTTCCAGCAGCTTCGTGTTTTACACCGAGGAGGATCGAACCCGTAGAGCGCAACTCTCCGGAATAAGCAGCCCGTTCCAACATACACGGGCCCCTGGATACCATCGAGTGCTCTCATGTTCACGTCGAAGAAGACAGTGTTGTGGTTGGCATAACGGTCATTGTGATCGATGCCTTCGAATCTCTGCGGGAACTGGACAAAGCCGATGCGATCACCACCATTATCCATCATGAAGCACATCCCTTCTCTGAATGCGAGGGAGTTGTAGACGTAGTGGTCACAGTCGAGGTTGAGGATAAAAGCTCCATTCGACATGATCGCGCTTGTTCGTACCAACGCGTTCATCGCCCCGGCCTTCTTGTTGTGGTCATACCCCGCTCGTTTCTCTCTGGATACGTATACCAGCATTGGTAGCCGAATGTCGCAGTCGGACGTATCGATAAGATTGTTGTCATTGTCAGCTGAGCCCATGAGAGGCTCGCTACTTGGAGGAGCAAGCATCACCTGAACACCAAAACGTCAATAAGATCATATTCGCGAGAAGAAAAACTTACTTGAATTATTCCAGCGTGATCTCCTCGTCCGTGCTCACTGCCTGAGCTAAGCCATGTCCCCGGCCAGTGCGTACCATCGGCCATCCAGGTGGCCTTTGGAACGTTAAGCGGCTCTCCCGGGTTACATCCGCTATCCACCTGAATCCTCTTTGCTCTGATCTCTTCGTGCGCATTGTAAGCGTCAGACCTCCTCCGGATTGCATCCCCGAGGCCATTTATCCGAACTTTGAACTCGTCGTATTCACGTTTCACTCGTCTTCTGTCCTTCACGAAATCCGCGCGAACTTTGTTCTTAGTCGGATCTCCCTTGAGCATGAAATAAGCCTCCGGGTTCCGAGGTTCGATGCTGTGCTTCCGACAGAACGGCACCCAGATTCTTGAGAAACTTGCTGCTTCAGCCAATGCTTCGAACGTCAACAGTGAACCACCATCGTCGGAAAGGTAGCAACACAGCTTCTCCACGGGATACTCGGCTGCGAGAATCGAGAGGATGGTGTTTGCTGTTACCAGAGATGGCTCCTTTTCCGGATCAGCTGTCGACACAAAAATGTCTATCCCCGGAAGATCAGACCTGCCCTTCGGATTTTTCGCTGTCGGCCTCTCAAACTCGTCCTTGAGCACCGCCAAGTTGGTGGTGCGATTTACTGGACACAACTTCGGCAGCTGGTCAAGAATCCAAGAGAAAGCGAACCACAACTCGCAAACGATTGACAGTCCCCACAGCCACATTGCCTCCGGGTTTGGATGACGGATCCTCCACGTGATGAAGAGTCCCAGTGCGGCTAGCCTGACGAAAACCAAGAGCCTGCATGGAACAACGTACGGGTTTAGCTCTAAAGCTCGAGAAAAAGAAAAAAAAACAGCCAAGTCCGTGTACCTGTAGGGACTAAGGATAGCTGCTGAGACGTTCGTCTTGCGCGTCAGGGGACGTCTCGCCTTATCCTTGAAACTCGATGGCATTCCATCGCCAAAGTACGTATCATCCTTTGGCCACAGCGCATTTCCATACCCGTAAGTCCCTTTCGTCTCGTAAAGCCATCTCGTGTGATCGAAGTCCTGCTTCATCGACCCGGGCTGGTTGGATCGTAGAAGAGACAGCCTCCTGGGAGCTGGGAGCGGCAAAGTCTCGGCATTGGGACCCTCGATATCGAGCACCTTGTACATCTCCTTGCAACCGGGGCACTTCCCACCATTGTTGATAGCATCAAAGTAGCAGTCTCTGCAAATCCGGAACGCGCACTCGCACGGGCTTAGATCTTCGCCCATCTCGTCCTTCATGGCCTTGCCATCACACCCAACGATAGCGCAGCTGAGCGTCATCACGACCTTGGCCTCCTTCATCTGCTCCATTACGTGGCCCCTGGTGACGCTCTGGAATCCGCCCGTGAACATCGCACTGGCCATGTCCCCCGTCTTGGGCGCCGCGAGAAATCCCGGATCCGGAGTGGGAGGGATCAACACCGTGTAGTTTTTCGCTGTCGATACCGCCTCCCGGCCGGGATCGTTCTCCTCCCGGGGCATGAACACATAGCTTCCGCCCGGCGATCGATGGCTGGGAGGAGTAGAGCACGCCGTCGGCGATGGAGTGCCGGATTTCAGGAAGCGAGGACTGCGAGGAGGAAGGAATCGCGGGCTGTCGATGCTGGTGTTGAGATTCCTGGGGCTGAGGAGCTCGCGGAATGGCCGGCGGCTGCTGGAGATCGAGACGGATGAACCCGGCGACTCCATTTCCCGATCTAATGCGCTATTCCTGTGCGAAATACCTGGATTGGAGCGATCGCAAGCTAGGAAACCGAAATTTCTAGCGCCGATTGGCCCGATCAGAGGCGCATTGTATCGAGAGAGATCGCGAGAAGACGATGGAAGGAAATATTTGCAAAATATTTTCTACCCTAGCTAGCCGTTGAGTGGAGTAGCCGTTAGATCGGACGGTACTTATTAAATTCGCACGCGCAGGAGATGGGAATCGAACCGAAAACGACCGAGTTTGACACTCGTTTGCGCTTTCTTCATGGAATTTACGCTCTTCATGGAAATAAAACCTGCGAGACAAAGAATTTTATGAGCAAAGAACCAAGAATTTCTCTCTCGAAACAAACCTGGTGAGTGTTGTTTCGATCGTTCGCTCGCTACAATCGCTTCTTCTTCTTCTTGCTCACTTTGTGGAGCTCTTGCGAGTTCTCCATGCAGTGATGGAAGCCAAAATGCGGGAACTTCTCGTACCAAGTTTCCTGTTCTTCGTGCGTGTCCCAAAACTCTCCACTGCTGCTCGATCCATACTTGTGCACCCAGCCGGTCCCATTGTGCTGCTCGCCCCAAGTCCTGTTCCATCGGTCACCATTGGTGCCCGCCCACCAAGTCTCGCCCTGCTTCTTGCCGACACCATTCTTATCGAAGCGCTCGTCCCACTTATCACCCCACTTTGTCCAGCCACCGAAGTCCGATCGCTCGGCCCATTTATCTGTGTATTTCATCGCACCACCTTGTCCATCGAACTCTTCCCCCCACCTGAGAATTACGTTTTTGATGGAAGATTGTCACTGCCAAAGTAGAACTTGTTTACGTACCTCTCGTGCCAAACATGACCGTGTCCCGGTTCTAGAGGTGTATTGGGATCGATCACACTCCATTTGTCGGCCCACTTCTCCGCTCGCCCGGAAGCGTCGTAATGCTCCCACCACTTCTCGTCCCACTGAGCTCCAGTGCCGTTCTTTCCCCACTTCTCCGCGCTCTTTTCCATATGAAGCAGTCCACTCTTGGCGTCCTGCAAATACTTAGAAAACTTGAGAAGATACAAACTCAAAGCGAACAAACCTGCCATATGGTCTCTTTCCAAAACTCTCGCCAGACGTTGCCAGAAGCATCACGTCCAGACTTCTCCGATCCAAGCTCCTTGTAATCGAAGTCGTCACAGGCCTCCCAGAATTTTTCTTCCCACTCCACGACACCTTCGCTGCTCACGCCTCTGGTAACGCTCCAGCTACAAACCACGCCGTTTCCTCGATCCTCCTCTCCGGTTTCTTTCCACCACCTGGAGCCGTCTGGATTAACACCCGTCGTAGACTTCGTTTTGTTCGTCTGGAGATCTTGGTGCACCACCGAGTCGGCAAGCTTGTCTCTCTCTAGAACAGCAGTGGGAACTTCCGTGATCTGTTTCTTTCTTGTAGCTGCCACATTCTCTTTGATCTCCACCAAGGATTGTAGAGGTGGAAGTGACGGCGCTGCTCGGCTTTGAAACACTAGCGGAAGCACTGACCTTGCGTTCTCGGTCTCGAAAGGAAGTTCTAGGGTCTGCGCTTCCCGTTCCTTCTCAAGAACAGAGTTACTAGCCTGTGTTTCCGACTGAGAAGTCTTGGGTGACAATGCTGCTTTCTCCGATGGATCCTCCACCGGCGATGGTGGTGGTGGCGGCGTCCATGTCCAAAAATCTGGACCTGGAGACACAACAGTCGTCGCGGGCTCAGCGGAAGCAACCACAGAGCGACGAGGCAAATCTCCTGGAATGAAAGTTCGATGAGAAATAGAGAACTATCGTCAACTAAGAACAAGTTGGTTTGTAGTTTACCGAGCTTTTTCGTTCCTTCCCATCCCCGCGCAGCGGCCTCCTCCCATTTCTTCTCCACAATCGTCGATGGAGCTCGCGGCCTGCTCGCCAAGAGAGCCTCTGCCGCCGCTAGTGCCGCCGCGGCCCTGTCTATCACCTGGAGCCGATGAACGCGATCGCGCTCTTCCTGAGGCACATCTAGAAGCCTGGCAAAATCCTTCTCTCTTTGCGACTGGATTTCCCTGTCTTGATCCGGCTGACGATCCTGCTGTACGGTAGACGCGTTCTGCTGGAGTTGCTCTCGCTCGTACCGCTCCTTGGCATTCTTCCACATGCTAAGATAGGATCGAGCATCGGCATCAGCTCGGCCCTCTGGCGACGATTCTTGCGCTGTCGCTTGCGCAACGACGATTCTTCTTCGAAATCCATGGAAAGGATCACCGCAATGGTGAAGCCCGATCACTCTCCCAGCCCTGTATCCCCCGAAAATCTTCCATTCCCCGCGGCATTCCCGCCGCCTGACGCAGCACTCGGAGATCCCCGCATTGATCGACGACAACACCGGCGCGATCAAGGACATCTCGCCGGAGTCACTGTAGCTACGCGACCACTCCCTCACTATCCATGGCGCTCCTCCCTGAAAGCCCTAGCCATTCCCATACAGGTGAAAGCCTTTCACAGATGCCATCCATCGTCCGATCAAAAGATTCCATGGGACACGTGTAAGCACAAACAAATTCACGTGAAAATGGAGATAACCGACCCCACATTTCTCTCCACCGTTTTGTTTCAGCTGAAATCGCCCTAGAAGAAGAAAAAAATCCCATTCCTACATTCCAGCGCGAGCGCCCAGCCTCGATACTGATAATCGCCGGCAGCGCTTGAGCATCGTCACGGCCTCTTTGGTTCTTCCCTGCGAGAGCTCGACGTAAACCATCGCTAGAACAGCCATGCTACTCCCGGGAGCGATGGCAAGAGCCTGGAGCGCGCATTGCCTGGCCTGGAGGAGCTCCCCTTGCATCGCATGAATCGCGGCGAAGTTCACGTAGAGCGACGCGCGAGCTTGGGTTCCCGTGAACCTCGCGAAGTTCACCTGTTCCTTCAGGTTCCTGGTGCTTCCATCTTCGCCACCACTGCTCGCGTCGCCATTGTTGTGATCACCGTTCTTCTGAGCTGCCGCTGCTGTGTCCTCCTCTAGGAAATCACCGCTGCTGCTCGTCCAATCCATCATACACTTCTCCAAATGCCCCTCGGCTTCCTTGATCCGGTCCAGCAGGCAGAGGGCCTCGGCGGCGTAGACGTGCGCGAGAAAGCTGTAAGCCTTCGTGACGTGATGCTGTTGGAGCGCTGCCTCGGCGTTGCTTAGAGCCGCTAGCGGGTTTTCCAGGCAAAGCTCCACAAAGGCCAGGTCCACTAGCACGCAAACTCTGATCATCGCTGCCTCCAGCTTTTCTTCGGCAGTAAACGAAGCTAACGTCGCGGCAGCATCTCTTCCTTCCTGTCCCCCGCTGCTTGGTGAAACTTCGGAGTTTCCCATCACCAGAGCCTCAGTCTCAGTACCAGCAGCCAGCTCTTCCGGTTTTCCATCACGCTCCAGCAGAAGAAACGCGTACTGCAAAAATCTCTTTGCTATCGCCATCGAGAGAGTGATCGGCTTCCCTTCTTTGCCATCCTGAGGAAAAACTCCGTCCACGTTGTCTGGCTGAGTGCCACTCACCAGTGATGGATTTGAGCCGCCGGATGGAAGAACCAGCCTTCGAAACTTCCCCTTTCCGACCACCACTACTTTCACTTCTTCCTTCCTGGCTGAAACATCTGTGAGCAGCCCCTTCTCCAGCGCTGATATACAACACTCCGCGAGCCGAAGCCAGAATAGTGGCCTGGTGTAGAACATCGAGTATGATTCTTGCAGCAAACGTGAAGCCATGACGGGATTCCCACTGAGTAGCTGGACCACCCCACAGTTGTAGTAGACTGATAGCGACTTGTCTTGCGAAAAGGTCGTGAGTTTCAGAGGCCTTTCCTTGCTCATGGATGAGTATCTTTGCAAGGCCTTGGCGAAGAACAGCGCTGCCGTTTGATCCTTCCTCAGATAATGGTAAACGCAGCCGAGGTTGGAGAGGATCATAGGAACGACGGCATTCTCGGCACGAGCAATGCAGGTTGTCAAAAGCTTCATGGCTTTCCGATAGTTGCCACGCAAATACTCCAACTGGGCCTTGAGAAGCAGCGCAGTGATGTTGTCCTTCGACAAGTTCAGAGCTGACTTGACTTCCCGTTTCACAGTCTTCAAACAGTGCGTCAGAAGTAGAAACCGCACCCTGTAGAGATGCATCAGCAGCTTAAGCTCCGTCCCGGGAGCCGGATGAGATTTCTCGATCGCCGGTACCCTAGTCGGTAGGCTTCGAACGCTGTGAGAGCCATCGATTTCCAACCCGATACTAAGAGCATCCTCTTCGAACGTCTCTTCTCCAGAGCCCTGAGTCAAGGAGGAGCCTTCGCCAATGGGGCTTGTCACGAGAGGAGGTGCAGGGGATGAAGTGATGCCCAGATACTTCCCATCAAGAACAGATGACGCTGCTAAAGTTGGAGCTACCACAGACAACTGCTGGACATTTGCCGCGTTCTCCAGGCCGGATTGTCCTAGTCCGTAAGATTTTTCTACATAGTGCAGTACGAGCTGCACAATAAAACCTTGAGAAACAAGCGATAGATCAAACAAACTAACTTACCGCGGCACTCTCAGCCTTTCGAGAGGCTAATGCGATATCCAGCATCAAGAGACATATTTGTAGTGCACAGCTCTGGAAATCCAACTCAAACGAGAGCAATTTAAACAACTGGGACTTCACCTCATCGACGGGTTCTATGTTCGCAAAAAGAGGCTCTACCACATGAAAAGCGGAAGCATACTGCTTCAAATGGTAGTAAACAATAGCCTGTGAAAAAAGAAAACGTAAGACGCAACTCCAAAGTATACATGAAAAAAAGCTTACAGTATTCAAGGTGGGAATGGAGAGATCGTAATCTTCAATGTAGGATCCTTCTGGAGGGGAGGGCTTGACGATGGTATTCCCAGTAGTAGAACCATTCGGACTAGCAACGTTGTTCCCAATTCCTTCCAGTTGCTCGTCGGCAGCTCGAGCAAGCTCTTCGCATTTCCTCTGCTAAATCTCTCGGAGCAAAATCGAAGTAAATTCTCACAAGCACTGCTTCTTACCTTAACCTGTTCCAAAACATCGAGCAGCTTGTAGGGATCTGTGCAGCCATCCCGGTAGAACTCTGCCAATGCGATATTGTGAATAACCTAGAAACAAAGAGAGATGAGCGCTTCCAGAGATCAATCGTACAGACACGCTACCTTGGGATCACTCTCCTTCTTGGCGAGAATTTGCTGGAGCAGGCTCAAGCATTCTTGGTAGGATTTCTTCTCGTAGAGAGCCGCCGCTTCCTTCGCTAGCGCCGAGCCCGCATTGGTGCCGCTCTCATCACCTGGAGAAACCGCTGGCGAAATCCCTGCTTCCCTCTGCGACATCGAAACCTCGCCCTCGCTCTCTCCCTCCATAGCCCGGGCTTTCTCAATCTTCCCCAGCCCTTGAAGCTCCCACAGCCGTCAATTCTATGATTTGTTCCGGGCCGTTGGATCAAAATCTTAAACCTCTGGAAAGGGTTAGGGTTCTTCCGCGCTTGATGGGATTATTTGCCCGCATTCTCGTGCTTCCTCCTCGGCGATCGCGATCTTGGCACAGGTATGTCCCGGCGCGATACTTCGAATCGATGGGCGCCAGGCCCTCTGGCGGATTCGGACGGACTTATATCACGAAGGAGCAGAAGATGGCCGAGCTCTTTGGCGGGAGGCGCAAATGCGGCTCCGACGATTCGTGGAGCCTCAGTCCAGAGGATCAGCCTCGGGCCGCCTTGGGGAGGGATTTCGCAATGCTTCCACCGGGCGATTCACCACAGAGGCGAGAGATGAAAGCGATGATCAAAGACCAGATAAAGTCCAAGATCAAGAACAGGCTTCAAAAAGAGCGGCAAGCGTTCTACGATAGGCAGCCCAAGAACGAGGAGGAAAGAATCGAGCTTAAGATAAAAAGAGTGAGTAGCTCTTGAAGTTTTCGTTTTACACATCTGTCTTGTCTTAGGAATTCCTTCTTTGTGCCAGGCCTACAAGATCATTGGCTACAAGCAATTGGAGCTTAGGAAGTACAAAATGGAAGAACCGCCGCTGTCCGCCTCGATCCACGATCCAGAAGTCCTGACTGCCGAGCAGCTTCACTACTTGAAGAAGATCGGCCAAAAGTCGAAGAACTACGTCCCTGTCGGGAAGCGTGGAGTTTACGGTGGTACCGTCGAAAACATGCATATGCATTGGAAGAGACACCAGACAGTGAGAATGGACTGCCACACTTTCAGCATGGACGAAGTGAAAGAAATCTCGGAAGAACTGGCGAAACTAAGTGGAGGGATCGTTGTGGACATCCTCCCGGACAAGACCATCATCTTGTATCGAGGAAGGAACTACGAGCAGCCGAAGAAGCTCATTCCTCCGAACACTCTCACCAAGCGAGCGGTGCGTAAGTATAGTTCACTCTTTTTCTTTGTCTCGTTTGTCTTTGTCTCGTTTTCGTTTGAAGTTCATCTTGGTTTGCTGGTTTTTCCAGGCTTTGAAGAAGGCAGTGCTCGAGCAGTCGATCGCTGCCCGGCTGAGATACGTCGACTTTCTAGAGCGCAACCTCAAGCAACTCAGGGAGCAAAAAGAGTACGAGGAGAAGCGAAAAATGCAAGCGATCGAGTACAAGGACGAGGCCGTGCGAAGCGTTCCCGTGAGGAAAGTTAAGCCATACTTCAAGGCCGTGGGAGACGCCTACGATTTCGAGGACGACAGCGATCCTTGCTCCGAGACCGAGTCGGACGAGATCGACGAGGACGACGAGGAAGGGGCGATTCTCTCCGGCGAGGAAGATCAAAAGTATCTCTACGTCGAGGGCGAGAAGCAAAGGAAAGAGTTGAAACACATCCGCGAGTTCCTCCTCCGGCACAGGATGAAGAAGAAGCGCCTGGAATCCAAGCTCCGGAAACGAAGAGAGGAGTATGAACGGTTTGGATGGTCCAACCGAGCGTCCACGTAACGCTTGGATCATTCAAACAAGCTTTCACGTGAGGATCATCCAACGGCCCAGGATTTGGTATCTTTGTCTGGCAGTGCCTGAATCGGACGGTGCTACGCTGCAGATCTTGACCGTTGGAGGTGGTTAAATTGAGGCCGTTGATCTAGCTAGCTTGTGTGTTTTCTTCTACTCTCGTGTTCTTCGAGAGCGCATTTGCCCTGATTTTCGGTGTTCTTGCATTTTCCCTTGTGCGCCTTGGATCGATCGTAGGCGCTCGGCGATCGATCCATTTGGATTGTCGGTGTTTTGGTCTTGCGCTGGCGGCAGCAGCAGTGCCGGTAACATTTGCTCTCGTTTTTGCTCTCTCCGATCTCTCTCTCTCAGACATTCTTGGCGGTCTCGCGATTCTCTCAGGGCATGATGCAGGAGGAGGTGATCAGCAGCGAGAAAGAGGAGCGGAATAAAGAATTCAAGGAAGCATTCAGTCTCTTCGACAAAGACGGTGATGGTAACGCGAAATATTTTCCTGTGAATCCACTGGGCTACATTCCTTGATCGCCACTCTAGGTTGCATTACAACGAGCGAGCTCGCGGTCGTGATGCGCTCCCTGGGCCAGAATCCCTCGGAGCAGGAGCTCCGGGAGATGATCGAAGAGGTCGATGTGGATGGCAACGGCACCATCGATTTCCAGGAGTTTCTCAATCTCATGGCGAGGAAGATGAAGGTACCAATCTTTTCTACCTCCTTCTCGATGTGATAGCATGCTTTTTTATGCATTCTCTCGCCTCGCGTGCTGGAAAGAACAAGTGTTTTAAAAGTTCTCTTCCTATCATTCCAGGACACGGACACGGAAGAGGAGCTCAAGGAAGCCTTCAAAGTCTTCGACAAAGACCGCAACGGACTCATTTCTTGCGCGGAGGTCTGTGAGAGACATGGATTCTTGGTCTTGTTTCTCGTTTCCTTTTTGACTGACTGGAATTTCTTCCCAGTTGAGGGACGTGATGATCAATCTGGGCGAGAAGCTGACCGACGAGGAGGTAGAAGAGATGATCCGCGAGGCTGACATGGACGGCGACGGTCACGTTAACTACGACGAGTTCGTCAAGATGATGGCCAAGTAAGCTAGATAACTCTCAGAGCTCTTATTACTCGCAGGCGCTCTGCGCGACAAATCGCCCGCATGGGCGTCCTCGGATTTTGGTCTGTAAAGCTCTTTACCCCTCCTGGCAAACTTTCCTGGCTGGGTGTCATGACTTTCCTCCGCTGTGTTTGGTCCTGCTTTCGCTGTCGAACTTTGACGAACGCGCAGATCTTTGAAATCTCTGGCGAGGGTCAAACGCATTGTTTCGTCGCACCAACCGGCCAATCCATTTTCCGTCCTGGAGGTACTTTATTCTTAAATGTTTCGTGATGTCATCGTCCTCTAGGTGGTGCCCCGCTGGAAAGAAAGATCAAATAGTTCCTTAAAGGTACACTGCAAGATTCTTTTTGCGTTTTATAATCTCTCTTTAGTGATGACTGGCATCAGGCTTGCTGATAGCTTTTCTCTTTTCTCGTGAGAGTTCCAGGTTGCGATGCTAGCTGAAAGCCACCACCACCACCACCACCAGCAAATTAGAGACCAGCGAAGCTTCGCGATCGAGCTCGCCAGATCGTGCAGCAAGAGCATCGCGGACGCCACTCAAGCTGTCGTCAAAATCAGCAGCCTCGTGTCACTCGCAGATGATACATTCGTGTCCAACTTAGTGATCCAACTGTACGGCAGGTGTGGAAGTCCCGAGCACGCCGCCCGCGTGTTTCGCGAGACAACGTCCAAGGACTGCTACACCTGGGTGGCGTTGATCACGGCCTACTCCCAGAATGGAGCCATGGATTCCGCGAGAGATCTCTTCGACCGGATGCCCGCAAGGACGCTAGTGTCGTGGACGACGATGCTTAGCGCTAATGCCCAAACCGGGCATCTGGAGGAAGCCGAGCGGGTGTTCGAATCCATGCCGGAGAAGGACTTGGTGTCTTGTACGGTGATTCTCTCGGCATATGCGAGGAACGCGCGTGCCAAGAACGCGGCTAGAGTTTTCGGTGAGATGGTGGAGCGGGATTTAATATCGTGGACGATGGTCGTCGTGTCGTATGCTCAAAACGGGTATCTGGAGAGAGCTAAGGAAACGTTTGATTTAATGCCGGAGAGAGACTTGGCGTCGTGGAACGCGCTTCTCTCCGCGTATGCGCAGAATGGGAACCTTAAAGAGGCCCAGGCGGTGTTTGATTCCATGCAAGAGACGGATCTGATCTCGTGGAACTCTCTGTTGTCCGCTTATGCCCAAAACGGGCATCTCTGTTTTTCTGAGAGAATCTTTCTTGGCATGAAGTATTGGGATATTGTGTCGTGGAACTCAATGCTTGCCGCGTACGCGCAGAACAACAGGTTAACCGACGCGAGGAGAATCTTTAGCACGATGAAGCAGCGGGATTTGGTATCATGGATAACGATGCTGACAGCATATGCCGTCAACGGGCATATAGAAGATTCTGCTAAGCTGTTTCACTCGATGCCCGTGCACAATCTCGTCTCGTGGAACGCAATGTTGACGGCATATTCCCATAACGGGGATTACCGTCAGGCCCAGCAGCTTATAGATTCCATGCACGTAACAAATATTTTATCGTGGAACACTCTTCACGCAGCATATGCCCGAGCTGGGCATCTGGAGGAAGCCAAATGCCTTCTCGATCAAATGAGAGAGTGGGATATAATCTCCTGGGCGACGATGCTATCGGCGTTTGGACAGAAAGGATACCTCCAAGAGGCGAGGGATTTATTCGACGCAATGCCAGTTCAGAACGTTATAACTTGGACCACGTTGTTGGCTTCCTACGTCCAGAATGGTCACTTGGAGATCGCTAAGAAGATCTTCGAGCGAATGCCGGATCACAACTTGGTCGCCTGGAACACGATGCTGTCGGCTTGCACTCACGAGAACTTCACGGAATTTGGTGTCGAGCTCTTCCATTCCTGCCAGAACAATGGACTCCTCGTCGATGAGATCTCGCTCATAAACTTCCTCCGGATCTGCGGCCACAAGGGCGACGTTCGGGCGGCCTGTTCTTCGTTTGCTTCCATGAGTGCTGACCACCGCTTGAAACCCAGCAAGCAGCACTTCGGGTGTGTGCTTGACTTGTTTGCTCGCACGGGTCATCTCAAGGACGCGGAGGACCTTCTGCAAAACATGCCTTTCGTGCCGGATGCGCTCGACTGGAAGAATCTGCTCGGTGCCTGCAGGAATTGCAAAGACACGGATCGAGCAGCACAAGCTACTGACCGTCTCGTCAGCTTGAATCCAAAGAGTCCTGCGTCCTACGTGATGCTGGCAAACACGTACCTCTAGGACCGAGGCATACCATTTGATACAAAACGTGTAGCATTGAGCTAGAAAGTGTTGTACAGAATCGGTCGATTAGAAAGCGTTAGCTTAGCAAGGAAAAAGAAAGAGAAAATAAAAATGGAGATGGTTTACTCATCCTCGGGATCTTCTTCGGCATCCTCAAACCTTGAGTCCTGGACTTCTAACTGTGAAGCGAAGGAACCATGTTAGACAAGAAAGTCACGGAAATAGATGAAAAATTTTACCCCTTCCATTCCACGCTCCAGATTTTCGCTTGCCATCACTTCTTCAGCATTGAAGAACCACTCGCCCTCGCCTTCTCGTTCTATGAAACAGAAAACATCGAGTCAGAAACTAAAACAACGAGCATATCACGAAGGGAAAACTATACCTCCTTGAGGATCGGGATTCAAGGCAGCACACTCGCAGAGGACCTGGAATATGTTATCCACTACAGTTCGTCGTCAAGGATAACCAGTCTGGTCACCATTCATCTACGAGCAACTGGGAGAAAAAAGGATACACACTGCTGGATCCTGTGGCACAAGCCGCATTTCTCGTATTTTGGACAGATTTGCGTCGCCATTGGCAACTTCATCCTCTTCTTCGTCTTCATCGTCTTCGCAGTACTCGTCGTCACCGTTTTCGATCTAAACTCACGCGGTAATTCATTCGACTCCAAGGAGGCAAAGTCCCTGAAAACATACCTGGCAGTACACGCAAGGCGAAGGATAAGCTTCCAGGTCCCTGGAGATGGCGTGCATAGACAAGGAAAGAAAATCCACAGCATAGCCTTTGCTAATGTCGCGATCACTCAGCCACACGAGCCTCCTGTTGGAATCAAATATTTCAAAAGAATTTCAAAAGAGAATGAGGGATCACGAAGATTTACCTCGTCGTGATGTAGAGAGTCCCGGATTCTTGAGCATCCGAGTCGCCAAGCACGATTCCCACGAACGGCTGCAGCATCGCGAAGCTCTCGCCCTCGGCCTCGTCCAGAATCGGCGCGCCATCGCCGCCGCGGTCCGGCACAGCGACGAGACCACCGCTCTTCATCGATCGAGCGCGATTATAAAGAAACCCTGAGCCCTAAACCCCAAATAGAATATGCTTAGGGATATGCTCAGTGGCGTCCACGTGGACAGAAAACTATCTGGCTATGGCGCTAGGTTTAGGGCTAGGGTTTTATCGATGCTGAGGACTTAGGGAATGGCAGCTCTGGTTGGGATGGAGGAGGAAGCGGAAGCGCCGTCGGCGGAGCTCGACGCGGAGGCTACGGGGCTGGATGATCCGGATGAGCCGCCTCCCCCGCTGGAGCTGGACGATTTGGCGGTAGGCAGTGACGAGAATGCGGAGCTCCTCAATGGCTCCTCGATGTATTTTGAGAAGGGGGGAGGCATTCCCGTCGATCCCGTGGTCACGAATCTCAGTGAGGACCTCGGGGATATGCGCGACCTGGATTTCAAGGAGCCGCTGAGGAGCAATGGCAGCAATGGACGGCTTCTTTCGCTCAGCCCCAGCCTTAGCGGCGGCGGCGGCTCCATGCAGATGTTTGACAGCAGCGGGGAGGACGGCGGCAGCTGCCGGAAGCGGAAGAATCGAGTGCTTTTGCCGCTCGAGGTAGGGACGAAGCTGACTTGTAGATGGAGGGACGATAAGTATCATCCAGTGACGATCATAGAGCGCAAGAAGGTGAACGATGAGTACCACTACTACGTTCACTACTCAGAGTGTAAGTTTCCCTCTTTCTTTTCGCTTCCTTTTCGCTGATGTCTACCTGTTTGTGATTCTAGTTAATCGGAGGCTAGACGAATGGGTTAAACTCGACCAGCTTAACCTTGATGCCACCGAAGCTGATGCTGTAGAGAAAGTTGAAGATAAGGTACGTGAGAGTGTTTTGTTTTCTGCTCGACCGTCTTAAGCTCTTCTTGGAATTTCTGGATCCAGGGGTTGAAGATGACTAGACATCAGAAGCGCAAGATTGACGAAACTCATGTTGAGGAGGTGAGTGCGAATTTCCAAGTTCTAATTTGAAATTCTGGATTGGTTTTATTTTCGTTACAGGGGCACGAAGATTTTGATGCAGCTAGTCTCCGGGAGCACGAGGAGATAACTAAAGTCAAGAACATCGGAAAAATAGAACTTGGAAGATATGAGATTGATACATGGTATTTCTCTCCATTCCCTCCAGAGTACAGTGACTGCAACAAACTCTTCTTCTGCGAGTTTTGTCTTGCTTTCGTCAAACGTAAAGAGCAGCTCCAAAGGCACATGGTAACTGTTGATTCGTTTTGTACTAATTCTCAAGTCATTTAATGTTTCAGAGAAAATGCGACCTGAAGCATCCTCCCGGTGACGAAATCTATCGCAATGGATCTTTGTCAATGTTTGAGGTACGCTATCCCTTGTCTTGTCTCCAGTGACGTGTTAACAATTTGCGCGCAACAGGTGGATGGGAGAAAGAACAAAGTTTACTCGCAAAACCTTTGCTATCTAGCAAAGCTTTTTCTGGACCACAAGACCTTGTATTATGATGTAGACCTCTTTCTATTTTACATTCTTTGCGAATGTGACGATCGAGGATGCCACATGGTTGGCTACTTCTCAAAGGTAAACAATATCGCCTACCCTTCGAATTGTTCTTTCCACTAATTTATTCCGCTTTTCTTTTCTTACTTTAGGAAAAACACTCTGAAGAAGGTTACAATTTGGCGTGCATTTTGACACTGCCGCCTTACCAACGGAAAGGATACGGCAAATTTTTAATTGCATTCTGTGAGTTTTATATTCTTGGGATCTTATTGCGCCTGCTAACACCAGCCGAGTTTTCTTTGGCAGCATACGAACTTTCGAAAAAAGAAACCAAAGTCGGGACACCGGAGCGGCCATTGTCGGATCTCGGACTCCTGAGCTACAGGGGATACTGGACGAGGGTCCTACTCGACATCTTGAAGAAGCATCGGGGAAATGTGTCCATTAAGGTATGCGCATTTATTTACTGCTGGATATAGTTCCTTTTTCTAAAACAATTGGTGTGACACTTCCACAGGAGCTAACTGATATGACAGCAATTCGAAGTGAAGATGTCATCAACACGCTACAGCAGCTAGAGCTGATCCAGTACCGGAAGGGGCAGTACGTGATCTGCGCGGACCCCAAACTCCTGGACCGGCACCTCAAGGCGGCTGGACGCTCGGGGCTAGAAGTGGACCCTTCGAAGCTAATCTGGACACCATATAAGGAGCAGGGTGGGTAGAAACTGCCTGTAAGTCGTGGTTTCTGCTTGCAGTCCTGGTGGTGAGGTTTTTCAGTCTTTCAGGACGTAGGCTGTAGGTTCCTTCTAACAATTTGTGTGCTGCTGCTAGCTTAATGCTGTATGTATTTATATGCGAGTTAGGCAGAGAGACTTGCACCTGGGTGTGGGGGGCATTGGTGCATTGTTTTAACCATGATCTTTATCTACTTTTTTTTTTTTTTTTGACAGAAGATGGAAGCCTCATGAAAACTTATAGTTCGAAAAAGGCCGCGCATAAGGCTTCAGGTGTATAAAAGAGTATCCGGGAAAAAGAGGTCTTTGGCTCGTGCCTCGTGAGCTCATATCCCTTTTTGATGCACATAGTTCTCCTTGGGCTAATGTCACTGGTTTTTTTTTTTTTTTTTTCTCCTTCTATCTCCTCTTTCTGCCTTGTGGCTTTTTAAGTTTGACTTCCAGAGCTCGGGCCTTTTGAAGTGGATCGTCCTCGACTCGCCACGATTCACTGGAGGTAAGTGGAGGACGAAAGTTTTCGTTAGTCTATTTAAGCTGTTGAAATTAATCGTCGGTGTGGTTTCGCTTTTATCAGGATAAAGAATGCTTCGAAAGGACTGTTCTTCGAGAACCTCTAGCTTACCTTCTTCTCTCGGCTTGAGCGCTATTCACTTTTGTTTTCGGGGTAACTAATGCCTCTTGTTAGCGGCACAATTGTTCTGCCTGAGGTGAATTGAGTGTTTCCAGGTCTATAGATGCATCATCAAGATCATCAAGTCACGCTTGGTTGAGCATATAATGAAGATAGTGTTGTTTGTGCCAAGTCCTATATCATATTTTTCTTACAAATCATGGCACTTTCCTATTCAAATACATCTCCGGTATAAATTTCTAAGGTTTTTCAGCACCACTATAGGAGCATCGTCCAGAAGCGGCCGATTGGTCATTGTCAAATTTTCAAATAGAGCATATTCTGTCTCAAGTGGATGATTGAAAGGTTACATGTAAGCAAGGCATATTCGTTGCGGCACACGGGTAGCGTACACGTGGCGGGGATTCTGACACGTCACGGAGAAATCGTCTGGCGCCAGCAATTACACCCGGCCGCCCAAATGCCCGCCCAAAAACCCACGTATTGCGTGTACTGCCCCTCTGAGAGCGTTTTAGTCGCATTCATCTTAGCAGTGGCCAGGTTTTGTTTTGCACTCTCCACTAGGGAAGAACTCTACTAGGGCGAGGGTAGGTCTTCTCTTTCTCTCTCCCCTTTTCTCTTTGAGCTAGGGTTTGAGAGAGAGAGAGAGAGAATGGAGAGCGAGAGATCGATCGATGGCGCGGGCCCGCGCCGCCGCTAGCACGTAGCGCCAAGCCGGTGAGATTCTCCTTGTGGCATCGAAATTTTGATTCAGTCGATTCCTGGTTCGCGGTTGCGGTAATCTTGGAAAGGAGCTAGGGATCTGCCGCCGCGTCCCGTAGCGCATCTGAAATAATCACTCCCTGGAATGGGGGGTTTTCTAGGTGGGCGGAGGCAGTGTACTTTGGTCGGAATGATCCCGGCGCTGCCGCTGCTACTGTAGAAGAAGGTGGAGGAATCGCTGCGCGACAGCTGGTTGATTCCCAATGTCGGGCAAAAAGTCGTCGTCCTCATCGTCTCTCCTGCCGCTCAGGAGCATCCTCCGCGAGTTTCAAGACATCAGAGATGGCATCGGCAGCCTCTCGAGGCGGAGCTTCGAGGTCCGGCTCCCCTACCACCACAGGTCGAGGTCGCACAGCGTGGTGCTGGACGAGCCGCCGGTGAGGGACGTGGTGGTGCTCCAGCAAAGCAGATGGGCGAGCATGCCCCCGGAGCTCCTGCGCGATGTGATCCAGCGGCTGGAGTCGAGCGAGCACACTTGGCCCGCCCGCAAGAACGTTGTGGTGTGCGCGGAGGTTTGCAGCCAGTGGAGAGACATCGCCAAGGAGCTCGTCAAGACGCCCGAGCAGTCGGGGAAGCTGACCTTCCCCATATCGCTCAAACAGGTGAGGTGGTGTTGTTTGGTCTTTTACTCTACGATTCTGATGGATTTTTCTCGCTTTCTTTCTTTCTGTTTTTTCTTCACAGCCTGGGCCGCGCGATGCTACCATGCAGTGTTTCATCAAGCGAGACAGGGCAACGTCGACGTATCACTTGTGCTTGGGGCTTTCTCCCAGTAAGAAAAGTCAACTCTTTAATGTTTTTTTGTTCGGTTTCTTACGTACGGAAGACTTTGATGCAGGCTTGCAGGAGCACGGGAAGTTTCTCCTGGCAGCACGGAAGGTAAGGCGTGCGACAACCACCGATTACATTATTTCCCTCGATCCGGAAGATTTCTCGCGGGGAAGCACTTCATACGTTGGGAAATTACGGTAAAGTTTTCATTGTTTTTTGGATGTCATTGTGTCTGATCTTTGTGTCTGTGAACAGATCGAATTTTCTCGGTACCAAGTTTACGATTTATGATAGTCAACCTCCACACGTTGGCGCAATGCCTTCCAACAGCAGGGTTGGGAGACGCTTCGGCTCCAAACAGATATCTCCGCGCGTCCCCTCCGGGAGTTACAACGTGGCGCACATCGCCTACGAGCTAAACGTACTCGGGACGAGGGGGCCGAGGCGAATGCAAGTTACTATACACTCCATCCCGGCGTCGGCCATGGACCCAGGCGGTGTCGCCCCCACTCCAACGGTATTTGCAAACCCGCTGGAAGACGCCCAGCTTCCGTTCCCGGTCTCCAAATCCAAGGTCTCGGACTGCAGCACAGCTCCAGTCGTGGTCCCTTACAGCGGCGTGATGAGCAAAGACGGCCCGCTTGTGCTCAAGAACAAGGCCCCCAGGTGGCACGATCAACTCCAGTGCTGGTGTCTCAATTTCCGGGGCCGTGTTACAGTGGCCTCTGTGAAGAACTTCCAGCTGGTGGCCGCTCTGGAGCCGGGGCAACAGGCTCACGCGGACCATGACAAGGTCCTCCTACAGTTTGGGAAGATTGGAAAGGATATGTTCACCATGGACTACAGGTATCCGCTGTCGGCTTTCCAGGCATTCGGGATTTGCCTCAGCAGCTTTGACACGAAGCTGGCCTGCGAGTGATTCTTGGTAGCGGTGGGTGATGCCGCTGGTGATGGTCTCTTACGAAAATAAGAGAAGGTTTGGAGGGGCATTTCATGCGTTTGATTCGTTGCTGGGGATTGATACAAAGCAGGGAAGGGGAAGATTGGTTGAGGTACCTACGTAAAAGCTTCAGAGAGCTCAAGGATTGCTTTTACAGGTTGAAGAAGCTGCGAAAAGTGTTGGGTGGTCCGACTGGTAGGTGATGTTCGTTCGTTCTTTCGAAGATTTGGATTTCCAGCTTCTTTTGCGAAGGAAAAGAGAAGAAAAAACGAAAGAAAAAAAGAGCTCGCTCGTAGACTTTGGGAGTTAAGAACCTTGAGAAATTTTTTTCCGAGGGTGGGGAAGTTCTAAAAGTTAATATAATGTACAATGTATTTTTAAAGGTGGGAAAAGTGCCTGTTTGGGACAGGAGTCCAACAGAACCCCGTGTCGGGAATATGCTCTGGGGTAAAGTGAAAGGTAAAGGGTGAAATGTAAATAAAGGGGGGGTGAGGTAAACGCATTTTCCACGTGCTGTTTAGTGAACCTCGTGGTTTTTAAAACTTTCCCTCCGTGGAGTGGAATAGCGGCTAGGTCGTGATTCCTCGTCTCCCGTCCGGAAGAAGGACGGTAGAAATAGCCAAGGGGTTTAGTTGTATAAGCAATCTTGGATTAGGGATCTTGGTTGGTCTTAGTAGTGTGGGCGGTGGAGTAGTCGTGGAAACAGGCTAGCAAGCGTGTGGAAGGAAGCGTGCAGCTTCGAAAAAAGAGGCGCTCTTCTTTCTCCTCCTTTCTTGTGTGCTCCTCTTCTCGATTTAAGGCGCGTCGACCAGCGCCGGAGGGCTAGAGCGAGTTCTTGGCTGGGATCTTTGTGTCGTTTGGTGGATTCTTGACGATCTTGGGAGGAATCGCGGCTTTTCTTGGCGATCTTGAGAGGAATCGCGGCTTCTTGGCGATCTTGATCGCTGCATTTGAGAGATCGAGGGGGCTTGTGCGATATTTCGGGTGCCGATGTGCTGGTGGGACGTCTAGAGCGCGTGTTTCTGGTCTATTGTCCGAGGTAGCTTGGCAGTCGATCGCGCAATGGCGGCGGGACACAACGAGACGGAGCTCGTCCGCACGCTCAAGCAGATCATCGAGCTGCGGGGCTTGAAGCAGCAGAGGCGATCGTCGGCTGCCACGGACACCGTGACGCTGTTTGGAAAGAAGCTCTCGGTCGGTGGCGGCGGCGGTTCTTCCTTGGAGGAATCCTCCACCGACAAGATACAACTCTCCGAGAAGCTTCCGCCCAGTGCCATCGTGCATCTCAAGGAGCTTTATGAGCAGCGTCTCAAGCGAAAAGGTAGGAAGCGTGAAAGATCAAAAGAGAGAGAGAGAGAAAGAGTTCCATTCCATCTATCATTCTTTGCTGATTTGTTCTTTGGTCTCAATGCAGCCGCGCCGTGTCACAGCGCGCGCTCCGCCGAGAATGGGGACGCGTTGACGCTGCCTTTGTTGGGCTCGATCCAGGACGTCGGTATCAAGCGACAGCGGATTGGTGTCCAGGCAGCAGCAGCGACCGAGGACGTGAGGCCCATCTTTTACGAAATCCAGAGCGATCTCGCCGCGGAAAAAGAGAGGTAAGATCGATCAAGAGAGTTTTAGAGACCACCACTCATATCTTTCCTTTGGATCTTTTGTTCTTCTTTGCAGAGCCGAGGTGGCAAAAGGGGCTCCTCTCACACTCTTTTACAATGGGATGGTCTATGTCTTTGACGACGTCACGGACGATATGGCCCAGGCGATTATGATCTTGGCAGGAAATGCGACGTGCTCGTCGGCCTCCCACACCGAAAAGTTCCTCGCGAGCGCCGCAAAGGACGCCAAGCCCGCTGCCGCCATGCCTTCCTTTACTCGTAAGTTTTGGATTCTTCGTTTCTTTGGCTGTCGTTCTTACTGGGCCGTGATGTTTTTACAGTGGCGGATCTCCCACAGGCGAGGAAGGCTTCTCTTCACAGATTCCTCGAGAAGCGAAAGGACAGGTATGTGAGTAGACAACTTGGATTTGCACAGATCTAGTGCTGAGTGTTTTCGTTTTTTTTTCTTGGGATCCTCAGACTCTTTGCGAAGTCTGACAAGGAGAGCGTCTCGTCTTCCAAGCCCAAGACTCCGCCCCGTTCGCCACCGAGGAAGCAGCACCACCTTCTTCGGGAGATGATCCAACCGCCGTCTTTTCTCCAAATCTACTAAAAAATCGAGGCCAAGCTCTCGATCGATCGATCGACTATCAGACAATTTTGATTCGTGCTTTTTCTTTTCTCTTTTCTTCTTCTGTTTGACACTTGTGATTGTGAATATGACCAAAACACACACTTAGCATACGCAATTCTTTCATGGAATAAAGAAAAGATGGTCGAAGCTAATAAATACACTCTTGACACGCTGACAAGGCCCAGGAAAGAAAATGTCTCTTCTCATAAAAGAACGGTGGCAGTGAAACACTTCCACGTTTGTTTCTGTAAACTAAAGGGGCCTTGGAACAAACGCGCCACCGCTTTTTAGCGTGTCACGGACGCTCCAAAAAACGTGTTTCAAGTCTTGTGCCGGCCATTATCATCGAGAAATCCGAAAGATGATGCGCACGAAATCACAATCACTCGAGTAAGGACTTGACCCCCACCGAGCGACCATCATCATCGTCACTGTCTCCTTCGCTGCGAGAAAAAACTCGCGCTCCCAGTTTTTCCTGTTCGCTTTTCCGGAAAGGAGCAAACGATCACATACACAAATTGACCAGCTCCAAGGTTGCGATCCGGTTTACGCTACCTTTGGAGCTGCTGCCTCGAATGTTCCTGGGAATGTGATCGCTGGCCTTCTATCGCGAGTTTGTCAACCAAGTTGTCCTCGAGAAGTTTTGTCTCGGCTGCAACTCTGATCTCGTGCTGGCTCGCAGTGAAAAGAGGTAAAGAAAGAACAAAGGGAGGTTACAAAGTCAAGAAAGCTTGCCTCCGAGGAAGGAAAATGAGTGCCTCTCGGCGGCTGGCGAGTTGGTATCCCCCTGGTTGATGCACAGCAGCGAGAAACATAAACTTCTCAAACAGAGAAGAAACGCCTCGCGCTTTGCGGCGATTATTTGCGATTTCTCACGAGCTGGCATCGTGGCGAAAATCTCGGCAATGGCGACCTGTGCACCGCCCGACTGACCACCTGCAATGTGAAAAACGCCGCAAAGTTTAGTGGCAGTTAGGAGGGAATAGTGTAAACAAAGCGAGCCCACGTTTTGTTTGCCTGCGTCTTACCTTTGCTTACCGTAGAAATCCAGCAAGGAGGTAGTACCACGGGACTGAACAGAGGGAGACACTTTAGCTTTAAAGGTGGAAAGAGAACCACTCAAATCCAGCTTTGAAGAGTCCTGCTCTTCCAACATAGCGTGAGGGAGAAAGAGATGCGAGAAAGCGATGGCAAACTAATTTATAACGAGCGCGAGAGATATGTTACCGAACGTTTCAAGTCTAGCCGAAAGGAGTTTTTAAGTATAAGTGGCGTGTGATCGAGTGTGGATGATCCCGTGGAGATAGCCACCGGTCATGATAAATGAGAGTAGCGCGACGATCCCAGCGGGGAAAAGCTTGCCAGTTTTCTGGAAGCGGTTGCCCATGGCAACTAGAAGAAGAGCTGAAACTCCTGGGATGAAAACCAAAAAAAAAAAAAGCAACCGTTGTCAAGTCAGAGGGAGGAGCAGAAGTGCTCGAGTCAGTCAGTCACACATCCACATCCAACAGGAATTTGGAATCGCCAGCAATGCTACTCAAGCTGCGAAATCATCGGAAGTCTTAAGAACAGTATCAAAGAAAAAGTCAGTCGTCTCACACAATGATCTCACAAAATCGTGGCGAGCGAGTGACAAGCACGAAGATTCAAAGAAGCAATCTATACCTTTCAGCCAAACCAGGTAAGCAAGGATGACAAAACAAAACCAGCTTTCGAAGTCGAAGCCCAAGTCTTCCATGGAACAGAAAGTGGAGAGACTAATAGCCAGGAAATGGCGAGAGTTCTTCGATCTTCTTACCAAGTCCGAGCGACGAAGCCACCACTGGATTCACAGGTAGCTGCGTGTGTACATACACCAAGAGACAAGACGAGACTATTCCAGACACCAAGGACATGGCGCTCCTCCTCTTCAAATAGCCGATAATGCCGCCCACTGCGCGAAACAAGAACAAAAACCGATCAAATGCCGACGCGATCGACCGATCCATCCCTCGATCGCTTGCCTACCTCCAACGATTGCCGCATAGGCGAGCGTGAGCCTCTGGGATAACAGCATCAGGAATTTAGGGTTTATGGGCGAGAAGAAATTAGGGTTTTAAGGATTCTAGGTTTCTGGTTTCTTTGCGGCGGCGCGTCATGAAGGTAGTCGCGGCGTACCTCCTGGCGATGCTCGCTGGAAACGGCGCGCCATCGCCCGACGATGTCAAGGGAATCCTCGCCTCAGGTACGAGAGCTGAAGATCGATCGAGTTTGTTGTGTTTTGAGACGCGAAAATCCCTCTTTCAGTGGGCGCCGATGTGGAGGAGGATAGGCTCGACCTGTTCTACAAGCTGGTGGAGGGCAAGGACGTGAACGAGCTGCTCCAGCTGGGGAGCCAGAAATTTGCTTCCGGGGGTGGAGGCGGTGGCGGAGCAGTGATGGCCGCCAGTGGGGGAGGTGGCGGTGCCGCAGCGACTGGCGGCGCCGCTCCAGCTGCCGAGGAAGAGAAGAAAGAAGAGAAGGAAGAAAAGGAAGAATCGGATGATGTAAGTGCTTTCCTTTTTGTTTGTGTGTTAGTCGATCGGTCATTTATTTCTTTTTCTTACTGCAGGACATGGGATTCAGCTTGTTCGACTGAGAAAGCTTTTTTTGTATACTTCCTAGATGGAAAATTCGAAGCTCATAAGTTTTACTACTTCTACAGCTAGCGATAAGTTCTATGGACTGCTTGGCTGGGATGATAGAGCTTGTATGAGTGCCTGTTTTTACTTGGGAGGGCTTGGATGTGAGCCTGGAAAAGTGGAAAAGGAATTCTACTACACAATAGTGTGAAGGATTCAAAGAGTGATAAATTATAGGGCCTTATACTAGAGGAGAAGTTATACTAGATGGTTAGGCCACATCGTTCATTGAGTGTGAAAAAGTATGGAGTGTTTGTTCTTTGAGATCACGTTTTAAGTCTGGTTTACTGTGGAGTGATTTATGTGGTGGGATTCCATTGCCAATATTATGCTAGAAATAAAACATTTTGATCAGAATCTATGCAATTTTCTAAGACACTCATGCTTCAATATCCTTTTGGAATATACAATTTTATATTTGAAATTTGATTACCCCAAACTTCATACCAAAGTGAATGTGATAATTTCTCATAACTATATTAAATTTGAAATTGCCCAGCATAAGTTAGAGTTTGAAAGAGGTTTGAGTTGAGGAGTTGGTTTTTGTTAAGATGAAGATTTGCATATGATAATTATCATTTATTGGGCAATTGTAATGTATGTAATCATGAAATAAGATTTGGATATATTATTATAATGGATTTTTGAAAAACTTTAGGGGATGAATAAAGATAAAATAATCATAAAGAAGTAATTACCCCTTTTCCAATTAACTTAAGGACAAATAGGGACAAATAACCTGAATTCTTTTTTGCCACTTTCCTAATGAAGCAATCTTTAAAAGTTTCAGATTTTCCTATAAGCAAACCTTTAATAAATACATGAATACTTGGGGAGTAAAACAATTAATGATGATGCAACTTTGATACAAAAAAACATCATAAACTAGCCTATTCTACAAAATCTTTGATGCTCAAGTTCTTCTCCTAGCCTATGCTATAAAATTTTTGATACTCAAGTTCTTCACCACCTTTCTTGTGAGGCCAGGGCAGTCCCAAAAGTATAATAAGGAGAGTGTGGGGGTTGGACTTCAGTGAAACTAGTTTTGCTAAAAAAGGCTACACCCACATGGGGGTTGATGATATAATCATTGAGGAATTCAAGATTAAAATGAACACGAATGAATAAGTGGGATAATTTAGTGAAGTATTCAAGACTTGACTCTAACTCCCCCAAAAGATTGAATGGTTAATGTTCTCAATTCAAGTATGGGTGGTATTACCTACTTGAACACTTAGCGTGGCTCACTAGAACCTCACTCTAGCCATATGGCTAAGGCACTTAGAAGCAAAAAGTGGAGGGAGTATCCATGAGGTTTATATTAAGCTATGGTGTTTCAAATATCATCCCAAAATTTTGAACTGTGGAAAAAAAGAGGAGTAGTCTTTTTGTAAAGTGACCAAGGATAATCACATGATAAGAAAGTCCCAAAGTTCAATGGGATTTAGTAGTCAAGCCCTAACCTAATGGCAATGTTGGCAAGCATAGATATGAATGAAGAGAAACTTAGTGGGGACCGAAGAAAAGGTATTAAGGAAGGGTGTTCTTCATGTCCCTAGGCATCCTAAAGATCGTAAGGTGTCTAGGATTGATGAGGAGGACTCGGGTTCCAACTCCAAGTTTGCAATGGAGCTTGTTGCAAACAGTACCATGAGACAGATAATGGAGCACGTGATGAGGGTGCTTCTTTACCATGATCACCATTCAGCACAGGTTTTCATCATCAACTTCTATATGGATAGGCCCAATGAACAATAGCACACTGTGGTTCCTGTTAGTGACTTGGTCATTTTAGTCATGGGATGACCACTCATAGACATCTATGGCCTAGTTTTGGGAAATAGGACTATGGTATAGGTGGTTTTAGGCTATTAATAAAATAGAGATGAATGAATATAACTTTAGCATAATATGTTGATATGTAAATAGTACCTTTGGGTGTCTATTATAAAATCAGACATGTGCTTTAGCATAATATGTTGATATGTAAATGGTACCTTTGGGTGTCTATTATAAAATCAGACATGTGAAGCACTTGGACTAAGTGCAAAAGTAGAACAGTCTAGAAGCCATTCACAAAGCTAGCAAATCTTCAAGTCTAGAAGAGGATTTATGAAGATTGTGACTGAGACCCTTTAAAGTGATCAAAGATGTAGTTAAGTGACTAAAGTAGAATAGAAAAATTAGTTAAATTTTTTAATATATATCAAAACTTAGTCATATAATTATGTTTTTATCAATTTTTTTCTTAACTTTATTCTTCCATTATTATTTTGTTTTTATTTGAGAGTTTTAAATAAAAATACTTAAACTTATGTAATAATATTTTTTTTACTTTATATGTAAATGCAGTATGTGAAATTATATAAAATAAAATATACTCAAAATGGTTGTATATTTTCCAAACCAATACAAACCACAAAAAGCAATCCCTTATATATATGGACACAACTAGTCATTTTCCTATCTGCATGACTTACTAATCTATTGGA